TCTAAATTCTCAAAACTTTCCGCCATTTTAAAACACAGAGGGAAAAACTTTGAAATGATGACGTCAATCGTGCGTCTGTCCTCTAATAGATCATAGACAAGAACCAATCAAATTGCGAGAATAACTTGGGTTATTATATAATGCATGTTGCCAAACAAATTTCCCGCGGTTTCAAGGTACACGACCTGATCACGTGAGAGTCGAAAGTTCAAGTTGTTTCCCTGGGGAGTTAGTGAGTTTTGACACGTGACGCATGGCACGTTCTCCTCCAATCGGGAAACGTATTTGAGTTGAGAGGTATGACAATGTCACGTGACTGGCTTTTCAAGAATCCGCTGATTTAGGCATTGGAAATGCATAATGTTGTCAGAGATGGAAAGAACATTTACAAATAAGCTTGGATTACGCTTTGCAGGCACGCTCCAGTGGTTTTCTATACAAATCATTGTAATTTTTTTCAAGTTTTCAAACTGCTATAAAGTCTTTGCCTTTTCGTTGAAGAGCCTAGAATTTCCCATTCTTCCTAATATTTTACCCCTCTTCTATTTCCAATAGTTATATGCCAGCAGCTTTTTTTCTGTGGTGATAAATTAGGGAAAAGGTCTCTGGAGGACAAAACTTCCTCACTTCCACTCACACAAAACCTTCTAACTTCGCAATATTCAAATCGTCATTCAATCACAACCTTACGTGGCATTGGTCTCAAAGTCGGTGTTCTAGTGTTTGAAAAATGCTCTTTCCAGTTCTGAAATTCGTATAGCTGTAATCAAAAGTTTAGAAATTAAAGGCATGTTGGCGTCTTCTAAGACTTAAGAGCAAATGAGCATGTAGGTATAAACGCTACAGAAATCGATGTCACAGTTTGAATGCACAGGTTTAATCATGGTGCGCATAAGCGCGAGAGTGAATAAGCGTGATTATGGATGTGATTCAATACGACAGAAAACTGATAACTGACGGAGTAAATAAACTTACAGACTGTGGCGACTGTCCAACAGGATAAACTCCTAGAATAATACTTCAAAGTTCACAACAGTGAAATGCATCCAAGAAAAGCGGCAGAAACCAGCAGTCCGCCGCCAGCTGCTAACAAGCACTGACGAAAATGAATACAAAACTATGCATAACGATGATCCCTCATAATCCCCAGGGATCACGGAGAAACGTGAAACCCAAACGCAAAGAAAATTCTAGTTGCTACAGAGCAAACGACGTAAGGCTGTTTTTTTAGCCCAAGCGAGAATTTTCGATGTGTTGCGTAAGCTGTCAAAAGAGATGGTCAAGAGGACCAAGGTTGAGTACGAGACTTAGTTATACAAATATCTCAAATATATATTACATCCTAGCATTTTTCGGTGCGGCAGTAAAGGTCCATGCATAGAAAACCTTCTTGCAAATTATTTTTAAAAACAGGAAACGCCTAAGAATTACGCATCTAGATGACGTGGATGTGTTTTGACCCTCCTGATTTACAGGGGACGGGAGGAGGACGGAAAAGAGCGGAAGTCATGAGATGAAGGTACAGGACGCTGGAGGTTTTGACCCCCGACCCCCCACCCACCTACCCCCCTTCCTCCCTCACTTAATTTCTCTCAAGCAAGCGAACATTTTAGGCCTCGCGATTTTAAAACCCCAGGAAACGGCACAAGATATGTACATGCTCCATTGTCAGTTATTATATGGGCCTGCAAAAAATTATTTACTGGTTTGAAATCTATCTCTTCGGTTTGTATGTGCTATTCCAGGTTCCTACAACGCCCTCGATAGGCGCGCTTTGAAGTACAAATCACAAAGGCAACCTGTTACAGTACGAGGTGGCAGCAACGTTTCGATTCCCTGCCCAGAGTTTGCCAAGGTTATTCAAGAGGAAGGAACGTTCAAGTCGTTGTCCTGGTCTTACTGTGATCCCAAGACGTGCACCACGGAAAACATGAAATGGAGTTGGCTGGCTGGATTAAACGGCAGCAGAGCTACCTTAGTTACCGATAAAGGACGTTACGCGAACAGAGCTATCTTGATTCAGAATGGTACACTGGAAATATACAATGTGCAAGTGACCGACGCCACCAATTACAGATGCACGGTGAAAAGAATTAACTTCACAACTCCAGCATTTTACCATGTGACCATACGTGTCGACTCCAGCGGTAAGTGTAATTATGCATGTTTGTGTAGATCTTGTTTATTTTTGTGCCACTTTTGTGATTATAGTAATCTGATAGTTCGCACAAGAAAGTCTTTTTCATGGTCTTCGACAGACAGGGTCTACAACCCGGGGGGGGGGGGGGGAAANGCCATTTTCCGTGGCGAAGGACTGAACACTATGTATAATTTCCTAAAAGTTAGAATAAGCTCTAAACTCTAGTCTGCTTTATGTCCGCTTCCCAAAACCCTTACTCTATGAATGTTGCGGCTGTCAAAGTTGCCCGGAACATAATTTATGAAGGGCTTTTGATGATGGTCTTATCGATAATGGTGAAAAAGTAGCTTCTTCTAAAAAACATACCCAGTTCAAGACTAGAGTGTAAAAACCATGCCCTATTTAGGACTAAAATGTCCAGGTCGATACCCTATTCATAACCAAAACGGCTGAAAAACCATACCCTTTGGGGCCGCATATACCTATATAGCCCATATAATGGAGTACCCCCTCCCCGGGTCTACAAAGAGTGGTCTTATTGAATTCATTACGATGACGAATGCTTCAAGGCGTGTTTAACTCAGGCCGTCCAAATTTGATATACACTTGTTCCGTTATAGTTGAACCTAAAATTATAACACGAAGTCCGAGTAAAGTAACCGTCAGCCTGGGAAGCACACTGTTCTTGAAATGTCAGGCTGTGGGTGTACCAAGGCCGCTTGTAACCTGGAAGAAAGATGGCAAACTCCTTCCGAGGCGTACCAACGATCCCAACTTTGTACATGAGAATTTCACAAAAGATGATGCTGGTAACTATGAATGCACTGCTTCAAACTCTGCCGGATCGGACAGTTATCGCATAGACGTGATCGTAAGGGACGTGTTCAGAAAAGGTAACAATATAAAGATAACATACAGTTTCCTCACTAATGAAACAGCATAATCTTGCGTGCAACTTGTAGGACCTATGTCATCATCAAAGGAAAATCTCTTTATGATTAACGTATTCGAGTTTTGTAAGAAATGAGACAATTATGGGGAATATGTGAGTCGACACCAGGCCTTGAAGCCGAACAGTATTTAACACCTGCTTTCAGTGTTACGTGCATAGACGACATCTCTCGACCATTTTTCGACATGCCATCTTTCAACATGCCCTGTAAAACGGCTTAAAGACCGCCAGTTTAACTGTGAAACTGGCAATTTTTCCGGTTATTTGTGGAAGAAATGATAAATAAATGATAATTACTGACCCCAAATGGCTGCAGAAGATTGTGGACTTTGCATGTTTCCCGATTTATGTACGGGATAATTCAAACAATTTTTTGTGTAGTCGATCGGCTCTCGAGAGTGACTTCCGGTAGAATCGGGCCGTTACCGCTTTTAATATTCGCAAGGTGTAAACATTCAAAACAGTCGATTTATTTCTCCCGGAATGACTTCTTGATACTCCTAACCTTAGTTTGATGTCAAATAAATCCGTCTTTCGTTACTAAAAGTCGAGTTCGACCGTGAAGAAGTCCGTTGTGTTTACTTTTGCCAGGTTACATAGCATGTCGAAAGATGTCACCTAAGCACGCAACACTGAATGCGGGTGTAGTACATCAATGCCAAGGACTTGAATGAATGTCTTTATTTAACGAAATACTGAAGTTCTACGCTGGAGAATTTAACGTAATCCTAACTCGAAATTAACCAAATTTCGAACAATAACGAAGATGCGATGATAGGTTTTTGGCTGGTGGACAGCAGCTCACTAAAAACCTGGGGATACTCTCTTGCTGCAGGGAGGCCAGGATCTGTTACAGAGATGTTATCTTCAAAGACATCAGCAGCACACACAACTTGGGGCCAACAGTAGCGTTTTAATACAAGAATACAACCACAACATAACCAGAATGTAACCAGATTAGAACCCAATGCTGGATTGTCTGCCCCCGATTCAAACGGGAGTCTCTGAGGCTGGAAGGTCTTTCTCAGTATCGGCTAACCACCTCTGGAATATGATGCCTGCCCATATCAAAAACCAACCAAACCTTATAAGTTTCAAAAAATCCATTTTTAGATATTTCATGGACAGTTATAAGGAATTGCACCATTTTATCATGTAATTTTTTAATTTTCTTGTTTTAATTGTTAGACTTGATTCAATGCTTTGCTTTTTAATATTTTAGTGTATCTAATATCTCAGTTTTTTATATAATCGTTGCATGTTTGAGAATCAGTTTCTATACTTTTAATTTTTAACACGTCATCTTTTTTATTCTGTAAATATTTATATG